TGGGTGAATCAGTCTCTCCGATGCTTTTTCCTCCTGAGCAGGCGTTTGAATCAAAGCCGCTTCAACCATTTATTTCCCTTGGCCAGAAAGGTCCCAGTTCGCCTCTTTTTTTGAGATGCAATAGTAATTAAATCAAAATATCCCCGTGGCTGTGGGTCGGGCGCGCAGCGATGTTCGCACATGCTGAGGAAACGGCGTTCAGCAACAGGCTGAACATCTGGGTTGCCACAGGGCTTTGCTCTTAGCGGGGGGAAATGTCTCCTGGCTTAATGCTTTGCAGATGGAGCGGGTTGGTTTGATTTTTCGCGAGGAGTGACACCTCTAAAAGGAATCCCTTCTGTATGCAGAGCCTTATTGGAGGGGGTTTTGCCACTTTATTCACCTGGTTTCTCGGATCTCTGGGAGAATTCCCTCTTGCCAGAGGAGGAAACTAAGACTTCAATAAATTAAGGCACCAAGGGGTTTATTAATGCTATAATGTGGCTTATAATTATACTTTCTCGGGGTGGGAACGAGCCATGCCGGGCACTGTTCAATGAGTTCTGTGTGAGCACTAGTGGGCTCTTTTAGGGTGGTTATTTCTGGCCTCGAGGTGGCTATTTTAAACTCGAGGTGCTATTAATTCCTTACAAAGCCGGGTGGGAATGGAGGTGTAACGGAGATGCGAGGTCAGCCTGGTCGCCCGGGGGGGCGATGGAAGAGGAAGGAGTGGGAGCATCCCTGTGAGCATCCTTAGCAAGCTCCCGCTTGGCTGCTCCCTGCGTGGGGAATAATTAGTCCGATTGTCCGCTTCCTCATCAACGGGAGGCTGGAATTGATGGGAAGGGATGCCTTTATGTGGCCTTTTGACGGCGATCCATTAAATTGCTGTCAAGCTGCACGTCTCTCACGTAGGGGCTGGGAAAGTCAAGTCGTCGCAAGCGGCTGGATGGGCAGAGCCAGGCGAGGGGAGGGGGCTCGGCGTGGGGGATGCTGAGCAGGAAAGGGGCTCCCGGCGCCTTTTTCCTTCCCATCGCTCCAGCTCGATGGGGGGGTAGCAAAACCACAGCTCGCGGGTCTGCTGGTACCAGTTACACACGCGTGCCTGTGATGGGAGCGCAGAGACGCGTTCGCGGTGCGTCCGTGAAGGTGTCCGGGAACTGCAATGGGAAGAAGCTGGAAAAGCGGGATGTAAGACGTGGTGTGGGCTTGTAGGAGCGGGGGAATGGCTCTTAGAAGGGGATAGTAAAAATACCTCGAGTAGGGAGGTGGCTGTTTTATCCAACCTTTTATTGAAGTGAATTTCCTTCCCTTTTGTGTTTTCCACCCACCCCGGTGAAGCGCATCAGCGCTGATTTTCTAGCTGATAAAAGGCACAAGTGTCTGAGCTACTTCTAAATACCCTCATTGAGCCTTTCAAAAGCCATCCCTGACCTTGACTTACCTGGATAGATGTCGATAACGAGTAATGAATGTGCATTGAAATCCCTGATAGCTTTCCAGCAGCGGTGAAAAGAAATGATGAATCAGGTCTTTGTGAAGCGCTAGGAGCAAAACACTGGTTTCTGTTTCATCCCTGATGCAAAGTTTCCTGGAGGCTTTTGTGATTTAACTGGGTTTAGGCTCAGATTCCCGATAAAAAGTGGCGTGCTCCATGCCCTGGTGTTTTGGGAGGTGCTTCCCGGGTCTGTAAACAGATGATGTTACATGGTCCAAGGGGAACCTGCATCCTTCTTTTGGCAGCAAACCCAGCCGGGGGGAGATTCCTCAAATACAGGTGTTTAACTCTTGCAGCACCCTTTGGAAATGGCATGTGTGGGCAGCTGTGTGGAGTCAAAGGGGCATGAACAGTACCTGGCAATATCCCCATTGGCCTGGAATGCTGTTATTTTAATGGCACCAAATCCTCTTGGCTCTGCTCCTTGATCCTTTGTCCATGGGCAGGGAGGGAAAGGAGGAGTGTCTGTATTCAGGTATTATTCCTTCCCCCTCCCTTTAATAAGTGGTTGTTTTTTGTACAAATAAAGACTCATATCCATAGGTTGGTTGGGGATGTGAGGCTGTTAGAGAAGAAAACAGTATTTTTCTGGATACATGTTCCATGCTCCATGGGGTGTGTGGTCTACATCCATCCCTTGAATGCACCAAGGGAAATCAGAGCTTGCCGCTGGACACAGTGGGAGCTGGCCTGAGCTTTTGAAACATGGCACTGGGGAGGCAGGTCACACAAAGGGAGCGGGTGTGAGAGCAGCTCCAGCCTGAGGAATGTGGAATATTTAGGGGGAAAAATAAAGAAAATCTCTTTTTGATAGTTTTTTTTATCTCTTGCCTGCTCTATCTGCTTTGGTGAGACAGCTGAGCTGATGATGAGTGGCTCTGCTCTGCCCTGCTGGGTACCAGTGCCAAACCTGTGACCATAACTTGGTTTCTTTAGCTCTTGGTTTATCCTTTCTTAGAAGGGGAAGGAAATCCCACGTGCTTTGCATGCTCTCTGGATACCTCTTCATTAGTTTGCCCCTCCCAGGTCTCCACTGAGAACAACCTACCCCAAACCACCACCCTGTCCCATCCATGAGGAGCCCCTTGCATCCCCAAATCACTGCTGCTCTCTCCTGGTCCCACCTGTGGGAAGCTGGGACATGGCAGGCAGAGCTCTCTGCCCAGCCCATAATTAAGCTGCATTTTATGGCTCTGCCACCAGCCACTCACTCCCTGCATTCCTTTCCCATGAGGTCTCCAGGCTCACCGGGTGGATTGAAGGGTGGCTGAGAAATCGCCTGAGGGTCTTGTCTATCCCGCCTTTGCTGGGAGGGCTCTCGGCGTGTCACCCGGCATGAAAGGCGGCTGGCTAATCCAAATTCCATTAGGCATCGTTAAGATCTTCCTTTCCCCCTATTTAAAGTACTTGGCTTTGTGCCTTGGCCTTTCCAATGTGCAGCACCATGCGAGAAGCAATTCTGCAGGGCAAACCCTGGAGAGGAGCAGGGATGCTGCCACGTGTTTACATGGTCCATGGGGTGTGTGGTCCAGATACAACCCCTGGTGCTGGGAGCTGGCTATGGAGGACTAAAATAAATTCCCAAACTGCATTCTCGGTCCTGTAACCTCTGCAGTTTCCTACAGAGTGAACCAGGAAATTATTTCCTGAAGGATTTAGGGAGAGAGAGGCAGTTTACCTGGGCATCCTGGCAGCTGATCTGTCTGCATGTTGGTCATGCCATTCGGGTGAATTGGAGAGGAGCTTCTTTTCACTTGCCAAGGCATCACTAAGTGATGCTTCTGGATTTACTTCCAGCTGTTTGACAAGGACCTTCTTTGCAGCAAGAACAAAAAAACCCCTTTAGCTTAAAACAGGTTTATGAGGAAAAGGGGATAAATGGCTTAGATATTTGCTTTCAAATGCTGGTGGTTCTGTAGTCCTTATGCCCTGCTTGTCTTCAGAAAAACCAGCTGGGTGCATTTGCATGTGTATCAGCTAAAAAGCCAGCAGAAGTTTTTGGAAGGTGCTCTCTGGGTGAAGATCTTGGTGCAGACCTGGTATTTCATCACTGCAGCCATGTCTGAAGTGTGCTGCTGTGAGAACTGGACCAAAGTCCTTGGCCATCCTTTAGCTTTCCACAGAATTGGCCAAACCATGGGAATGGGAGGCTTGCTTTATTTTTGCTCATAAGGAAACAGAGGTTCTGCAGGGAGTTCAGGACAGCTGCTGGTTCCTTTCCCACTTTGCAGCCATCAGGATGTTCTTGCTGTGACTGTCAGGATGTGACTCCTGTCCCTTGGGCTGTGTGGCACCAGGGTGAATCTGGGTCAGCGTGGCTTAGCTGGGGTAGTTGTGTCTCACTGGTAGGCAGCTGTGGAGCCATCCACCATGTTCTGACATATGCTCATCCAGCAGATCCCATTGCAGAAATGAGTCAATGGATTCACCTACTCAAGGTTTCGGTGGTCCAGATGCATGAGTGGAATGTGCAGGAGATACTGCGGAGATGATGTTGCATGGGGAGTAGAGGCTTTGGGTTTTTTGTAGCTGCTGAAGGACCTGAGGGGAGGCTGGATCAAGATCAAGTGCCTTGTAGAGCTGATACAAGATGAGCTGGAGGATTAATGGCTGCTCATGTTCTTTCTCTCCTCTTTGTAGCCTGTGGGCCACAGCTTGCCAACTCTCCCACTGTGATAGTGATGGTTGGCCTGCCAGCCCGTGGGAAGACCTACATCTCCAAGAAGCTGACTCGCTACCTCAACTGGATTGGTGTCCCAACAAAAGGTGAGGCTTTCACTGGTTGCCTATAGAAAACATGAGCTCTGGTCCTCAGGAGCTGCTCTAGGAGCCGAGTGCCTTGAAGGATGGGAGATAGTGGGAGTTCTTTCCAAGATCCAATGGACCAAATATCCATGTCCTCCCATCGCAGCCCATGTTCTCCTTCAATCTGAAGACCAAGGGATGTTCCTAAGCTTTTTGCTGTAAAGATGTCACTTGGCCCATTGCTAGGAAGTGTTTTCTGCCCAGCTGAGTCAAGCCATGCTGATGCCTGCTCCTGATTTTAATGGGGTTTGCCTTTTCCACACAGTTTTCAATGTGGGGGAATATCGCCGCGAGGCAGTGAAGCATTACAGCTCCTATGACTTCTTCCGCCCTGACAACGAGGAGGCCATGAAAGTCAGGAGGTGAGTGTGGGCACCGCATCCATGCTTGCATTTGGGTCGCGAATGGGTGGCAAAGCCCATGGTTACCCAGCTTGTTTGGGGAGTGACAAACAGAAAAGCTGGGGTCTAGCTTGAATATTCCCTGCCTGCCCAAGGAGGGCCTGATGTGGATCTGAAAACTGAAGCTGTATGGGCCTGGTAGCTTCAGAGTCACTAATGCATCCTCCATCAGCGGTACCTTATATTCACCCTCAGGCTCAGTGGTGTAGGATATGAGGTTTGGCCTTTGCTGCTTCATCTACCATTGCTTCTGCTGTGAAGACCAGCAGACTGCTCAGCACACATGGCTCTTGTGGGTTTTTTGGCAGACTGAAGGTGTCTTTCCTAAATGTCCCTGGAGGTGGGGAGGTGATGAGGAGGAGCTGCAAAGCCTACCCTCCTTTGTGTGGAGGCCTTTGCAATGACCACAAGCATCTCTGAGGACATCAGGACTATGTGTGTCTCTTCTATTGCAGGCAATGTGCCCTGGCTGCCTTGAGGGATGTCAAGCTGTACCTGACAGAGGAGGGTGGCCAGATTGCGGTAAGCTCAGATGTGCTCTTTGGGGTTTCGTCCTGAAGGCACCGTGTCCTGTGCAGTTTGTTCTGCAGTTCCCCCTCTGAGGAAGGGCTCAGTGGGAAATGAGGCACTCTTGGTGCTAATCCAAGTCTTTGCTTTTAAAGGTTTTTGATGCCACCAATACCACACGGGAGAGGAGAGGGATGATCCTAAACTTTGCCAAAGAAAATGGGTTCAAGGTTGGTACCACCAGGCTGCTTGCCTGTATTGCACAGTCCGTGTTAGTGTATGGTTGGAGTATCTTCTTTCACTAATGTGTTGTACTCATGATGCTCTTGTGTAAGGGAGATTTTGCTGCTGGGTTTGATTGCAAATGGTAAACTCTTCATTCATTCCCAGTACTGAGCCTTAGAGGATGGGAGTGGGGCAGAGGGGAGAGCTCTACAGTCAAGCAGGGAGGAGGTTGGGTTGAGCAAAGAGCTAGTTAAATGTTACAGACCTTATTGTTGGCTTTCAGTTGAGCTTTGCTTTGCTTTGCAGGTGTTCTTCATTGAATCTGTCTGCAATGATCCCACCGTAGTTGCCAGCAATGTTATGGTAAGTGTGGAAGTATCTTCCTTTTGCTTTTCCTCTATAGGCAGATAGAGGCAGCCTCACATTCACAAGCCCTGGTCCTCATGGGGGACTTCATCTACATGATATCTGTTGGAGGGACAACACTGGCACAAGCAATCCAGGATATTCCTGGAATGTGCCAATGAGAAAGTCTTTCCTCAAGTGACAGAGGACCTTGTTCTCACCAACAAGGAGAGGCTGGCTGGTGGGGAATGTGACGCTCAAGGGCAGCCTTGTCTGCAGTGACCATGAAGTGGTGGAGCTGAAGATCCTTAGAGTGGTTAGAAGGGCATGCAGCAAACTCTCTACCCTGGACTTCAGGAGGAGCAGACTTCCAAGGATCACCTCTTCCAAGCTCAGGAGCAATGCATCCTATCAAAGAGGTAGTCAGGCAAAAAAGCCAGGAGGCCTGCATGGATAAACAAGTAGCTCCTGGACAAACTCAAAACACAGAATGGAAGCCTACAGAGGGTGAAAGCAAGGACAGGTAGCCTAGGAGGAATACAGAAAAAATGCCATAGTAACCTGGAATGTGCCAATGAGAAAGTCTTTCCTCAAGTGACAGAGGACCTTGTTCTCACCAACAAGGAGAGGCTGGCTGGTGGGGAATGTGACGCTCAAGGGCAGCCTTGTCTGCAGTGACCATGAAGTGGTGGAGCTGAAGATCCTTAGAGTGGTTAGAAGGGCATGCAGCAAACTCTCTACCCTGGACTTCAGGAGGAGCAGACTTCCAAGGATCACCTCTTCCAAGCTCAGGAGCGACGCATCCCAACAAAGAGGAAGTCAGGCAAAAATGCCTGGAGGCCTGTGTGGATAAACAAAGAGCTCCTTAGGGTTGAGTGCACCCTCAGCAAGTTTGATGGCACCAAGCTGTGTGGTGCAGTTGATAGACTGGAGGGAAGGGATGAGATCCAGGACAGCAGGACCTGGACAAGCTGTAAAAGTAGGACTGTACAGACCTCATGAAGTTCAACAAGGCCAAGATCCTGCGCATGGGTAGGGGCAATGCCAAGCACAGCTACAGGCTGGACATAGACTGGATTCAGGGGAACCCTGAGGAGAAGGACTTGGGAGTGTCGGTCGATGAGAAGCTCAATATGACCCAGCAGTGTGTGCTCACAGGCCAGAAAGGAAACCTTATGCTGCTGCCCCCCAGTGTGGTTATGTGTTTAAATCCCACCAGAGAGCAGACTTGGTGTCTTCAGCCATATGCACTTTCCCAAAACCTACTGGGATCTGCTTTGAGAAGAATAGCAGCCCAGCTTAGAGGTTTCTTGCCACTAGCTGAAGTCTTGGAGACTACAGGGTAAAACATTGCTTCCTGGCTCCTTTGAGGGCTGCTGGATCTTTGATTTCCCACCAGCAGAACAACTTCTTTGCCCATTAGGTTTGACTAGAGCAGGTAGACTTTAACTGGTCTACCTAGGCATGATTAACTTGTATGAAAACACCCTTTCCTCCACTGGGCTGTGCTCCAGCCTTCTCTCCAGTTGCACATCTGAACTTTGTGAACCATTTTATAGTGTCTGGGAAGGCATCGCAAGATACTGGAAGTATGTGAGAAGAGTTTTTGTCCTGCCCCTGGGATGGGCTCCACAAAGGGTGCTGGATGAGGGCTGGAGCATGGCTTTTGGTCTTGCTTAGAGCCTGTGGCACATGGTGCTCTGAATGCTGAGATTGGTGTGGAGAATACACTGTGGGCCTTGGAGATGTAGGTCTCATGACTGTGTGTCACTTGGTTGTGTTACCCTGTTAGCTTCAGGATTGCTTGTGAAGTTACTAAAGTGTAATGCTGCTGCTCAAACCCAAATCTTCAGGAAGAATAGCCTGGTAGAACTTGGTCCATGAGAGTTCTGCATATTCACGTTGCCGATTTCTAGCATCTTTCAGCCCAGCAGCTTGTAGCAAATAATGCACAGGAAGGGGTTGTGTGTTATCTTGCTGCCTCAGGTGGTGGACATCCAGGTTGACCTTTAACTCTTTATTCACCCAGAAGACCCAGGATAAACATCTTGTCTAAGCACATGACTTCCCATCCTCAGCTTTAATTGTTTAAACCTGTTGCTTTTCTTTAGCTGTAAGAAAGCTGAATTTTCCCACTGTGTTGGGTGGTTCTCCCCAGTTCTTGGGAGAACTTGAGTGGACTGGTATGCATCCACAACGGTATATGAGATTTTCTCAACAAGTGCTTAGTTTTGGGTCTAGTTTCTTTTTCTCTCCTATGATCAGCAATGACTGTAAAGTGGCTCAGCTGATAGCTGGATCTTGGCAGGACTTTGAAACTGGAGATTAGCATAGTCTGACCTGGAAAGCTTCCTAACCTCTCCTTGTGGTATGGTTTTTCCCCTGTTTCAGGAAGTAAAATTGTCCAGCCCTGATTATCGTGACTGTAACTCGACGGATGCCATGGAGGACTTCATGAAGAGAATCAACTGTTACCAGGCCAGCTACCAGCCACTCGACCCTGATGACTATGACCGGTAAGAGACTTTGCTGACTTCTGAACTGGCTTGAATGCCTTCGTTCTGCCAGGACAAGAGTAATGAAGTATGGAGCTATATTTCACTTTGTCTTCAAATACATGACTGCACTAGAATAATGCATGGCCAAGCCTCACTATGAGCTCAGGATTCTTCATTGAAAAGGCTGTTTTTCCCCAACCCTGTGCCAGGGACTTTGGCACTGAAACCTTTTCAGGCTCTTCAGGGCTCAGACATGCTGTTTTCAACCTTGTTTGACCAATCTAAATACAAAGGGTTTGGAAAAGCAAAGGCTTTGAGCATTTCTGAGGTGCTTTTGTCACTCTCCACGTTAAAGGAAGGACTGCTTGGACGGGCTCAAACCACAAGGTTGAGCAAGCCCTGTGGTTTCTGTCTAGTTGTGTGCCCTGGGAGGACCTTTGCTGTCCTGCATGACCATGCAGGCACCTTTTCCCTGCTCACGAATTCATCTGTGTGCCCTGAGTGGATTACCCCAGTTCTGCTGAGCCCTATTCTGGGGAGGAACATGCTTCCTACTGCTCATGTTTAATCCTCTTTACTGCTGCAAGGAGGAATGGTGATTATACCGGTGTTACTTCGCTCTCCATGAATGGCTGTTACTTGTTGGCTTCCTGTTGAAAATAGCCTGCAGGAAATCCTTTTCAGCTGGGTGATTATGTTGACTGAGATACCTCACAAGGCTGTTTGTTGAAGATGCTGTTTCTTTCTATTTTCCCCATTGGCATCTGCTCATCTTTGCTGTGCTTTCCCTAGGGAGCTTTCTCTCATCAAAGTCATTGATGTTGGCCGGCGGTTCCTGGTCAACAGAGTTCAGGATCACATCCAGAGCAGGATCGTTTACTACCTGATGAACATCCATGTCCAGCCCCGCACCATTTACCTCTGTCGGCATGGTGAAAGCGAGTTCAACCTCAAGGGGAAGATTGGGGGTGACTCGGGCCTCTCCAACAGGGGCAAAAAGGTGAGGCAGAAGGGAATATTTTCCTGTGGCTTCTAGGAGTGATTTGGCTGTTGATGCTGTCTGTTGATGCTCTGTGTTGGGTATATTGTCATCATCAAGCTTGTTCAGACCTTGCACAGGCAAGGCAGGATGTAGAAGGACTGCTGCCACCCTTCGGTAGGGATAGCCGACTTGGAGAGTGCTTTCAGGTTGCTTACTACTTGATTCTTCAGAGATATGGCCAAGTGCACTGCTTCAGGGAGGGTTAATAGCTACTTTGGCTTGCAAGACCGTTTTGAAGCCCAAATGGAGTCATTTGAGGTGTGACTATATGAGGATATATCAGTTTAGCTCTATGACAAATAAGCAGAGCTATGGTTAAGGATGGCCAGGCATCTAAGGTGGCCCACTGGGAAGCTGCGGATCAGGAATCAACCTCTTGTTTTATGTCCCACAGTTTGCAATGGCCCTGAACAAGTTTGTTGAGGAGCAGAACCTGAAGGATCTCAAAGTATGGACCAGTCAACTAAAGAGGACAATCCAAACAGCAGAAGCTCTCCAACTGCCCTATGAGCAGTGGAAGGCACTCAATGAAATCGATGCTGTAAGTATCTGTGCAGTAGGATCATGCTGGTTGGCAAAGAGGGTGATAGCATCAGCCTTTTCACTTTTGCCTAAATCTTGTTTTCTGTGGGAAAGGGTGGCACTTCTGCTGCAGTACCCACAACTTGGCTTCTGATTTGGCTTTACCTTGTGTAGATGCTTCAAGAGTGGCTTGAATGAGCAGATTAGAATGGGTTTTACTTGGAACTGCTCTGCAGCTGACAACTCGGGGTTGTAGACGGTTGCTTTGGAGAAGGTTTCACATGTTGGGTGTGCTGATGTTTTTTAACTTGAGCATGTCGGTAACCTGATGGATGTCCTGTTCTGGCAGGGGGTGTGTGAAGAAATGACGTATGAAGAAATCAGGGAGCAGCATCCAGAGGAATTTGCTTTACGTGACCAGGATAAATATTACTACCGCTATCCTTCTGGGGAGGTAGGTCTGCAAGGAGACCTTCAGAGATATGACTCTTATCTTACTTCAAACGTGGCCTTGTTGTCTTCATGCTGTCTTCTACATTCAGAGCAGAGGAGCACTATTCCAAGAAACTAGAATTAAGGAAGGTCAGGGCACCTTTTGCATTGAGCTCTTGTGAAATCATGGTATGTGAAGACCTCACTGAGAAATGTACCACTTAACAAGTAGTCCCACTGACTTTAGTAGTGGAAGGAGCCTCTGGAGGTTTCTAAGTCCAACTTCCCCCGTTATATCCACTCAGGGTATTGCACAGCCCCAGTTTCCTTTTATTTCTTCTCCAAAGAAGTCATTTCTAGCTCTGCTCTCAGTATCGTGCCCTCAGGGTTGATGCTGATACCTCTGTTCCTGGCAATCTGCTTCCAGGGTGTGACACAATGAGGTGGGAATTGGCAGGCTGGATGATACTTCAGGTTGTGAATTGGGCTTTTTATGCCCATATTAAAGGTCACACCCATAGATATTTGGGAGAGATCTTTGGAGATACCCTCATGGCAGCGTGCCTAATAGGAGAATGTTTAGGTGTCTGTCTGTGGTTCCTCCTGGCTGCCTTTCAGGTTCTTTATGAAGTCCTTCAAAACTCCAGATTTTTCTTTAAGGTTGCTTCAGACTTTTCAGGACTTAAAAGTCCTGTAGAAAATCAAATTTATGAAGATGATAGACACTGTGCTCAAAACCCCTGTGCAGTTGTTACAGTCCTGGAGAGTTGAGTGAGATGTGAATAGCTTCTTTCTCCTCTGAAGTAGCCATGTTCCAGAGTAGTCTGAAGATGAGTATTTGTGGAACTTTGCTAGTTTTAGCAGTTATTACGTTAGTTTAGTCAGAGGCATGAAATCAATAGATGTACAAAGACAAGGACCATTGATTCTTGATTCTATGCCTTGTCTCTCTTCCTTTCTTCTGCCTCAGTCCTACCAAGATCTGGTGCAGCGCCTAGAGCCGGTCATCATGGAGCTGGAGAGGCAAGAGAACGTCCTTGTGATCTGTCACCAGGCTGTCATGCGCTGTCTCCTGGCATACTTCCTTGATAAGAGTGCAGGTGAGCTCCCTGTCCTTGGGGGTAGGATTGATCCTGCTGGAGGAGAGATGGTAGTTGGAGCTCTGAGGAGATGAGATATCTGTTAAGGGTCTGGAACATGCATCTCTTTGGTTTTGGGTGACTGTAGCTATTGATGAAGTCCAAGCCTGCTTTTGGAGAGGCAAGGGATAACCCAACCCTCCTGTTCTGCTTTCTCTGCAGATGAAATGCCCTATCTGAAATGTCCCCTTCACACAGTGTTGAAGCTGACCCCAGTGGCTTATGGTAAGTGGGGCTTTACTAAACATGCCAATGGGTTTGACTTGTCCCTCCTCCTGAATCCAAGCTTGCTCTGGGAGAAGAGCAGGGGTCTGGGATAAAGCACATCAGAACATCCTGTTGGGTTTGCTGATGGTCTCTGTCTCCTTGTGCTCCCTTCTGCAGGCTGTCGGGTGGAATCCATCTCACTGAACATCGAAGCTGTCAACACCCACAGGGATCGGCCAGAGGTGAGTGTGGCTTTTCCTTAGAGCCATCCCTTGGTGTCCTTCCTTTCCCTCCTGGTCAGCAAGGATGCCCAGGGTGGGCATGAGGAAGTTGCTCAGCTGGGTGTTTGGAAGTGCTGCTCTAGGACCAGAGCATCAGATGGGTTCTTGCTCTGCAAAGATGTGGCCAGATGAGGGTTTTCCAAGGGAAAATGACTATCGCATGTGCCTGCTTCCCAGTGTGTTTGCTAAGATTAAAGCTGGCCCAGGGAAAGCTCCTCCCTGGTCTTTCACCTGTGCAGTCATCTGCTCACCTGAGTGGGAAATGGAGCCATGGATGAAGAAGGTGACTTCTCCCAGGTCTCCCAGCTGGCTGGCAGAGCTTGGGCCCAACACCTTGCCCAATATCTCCCGCCTTCATGGGTTTTTTAACTGGTATGTCCATGGCTCTCTGCAATTCTGTAGAGCACAGGGTGGTGGTGCTGAGCTGGGGATGCTGTGAGGAGGAGACCCCTCATGTGGAGGAAAACTCCTGTAAGGTCAGGTCTGTCTGCCATGTGCTCCACCAGGAGCTCGAAGGCCAGAGCAGGGGGATGGATGCCAGCTTGGTGTTGAGGCTGGGCAACCACCCAAGAGGGACCGTGGGGACCCTGGCACTGCCTATGTCCCAGCTGCTGGGTCCTTTCCAACTTGCGCTTAGTGGTGGTGGAGCCCGATTGGATGTAGGGTGTTTGGAGCCGTCCTCTTTTGGCACGTATCTTTCTTTCACTTTCCAACCTTGGCAGGCACCACAGGTGGGGAAGCCAGTCCTTCCCCTGCCATGGGGGCCACTGATGCCCTCCTCCACCTCCCTCACTGGGGATGGCAGGAGGGCTCTGGGTAGGATGAAGTGAGACACATGTGAAGCGCTTGGCTCCCCCCTGCTCGGCTGCGCCTCTGTCCCACCTTGCTTGAGTTGGAGCTTGGCGTGGTGCTGGCTGCTCTGCCCTCACTTCCCAATCTTCCTTACCAGCCCGGGCTGGCTCGGCTTGCCTCTTCTTGCTTTCACACCTCTCCTTGGGTTGGAGGGACCAGCTTTGAGGAGGAGACCGATGGACACTTCTCTGTTGTGCAAAGTCATGCTCTTTTTTGGCAGTCTATTGACCTTTTTGTGAGGAGAAAGCCCGTCTCATTTCTCAGTGCAGGGCCTTTCAGTTGTTTATTTCCCCCTCCTTTCTTGGGCAGTCGTGCTGCATTCTTGAACGTCTTGTGTCCAGAGCCTTTAGCTGCATCCTTTGTACATTGACAGTGATTTGTGGGGAAAAGCAGAGGCTGCTTTAATCAAACACAAAAACCAACCTGCTTTTTTTTTTTCCTTTATAACTGTCGCCTTCTTACCTTTTATTTTATTTTATTTTATTTTTATTTACTTTTATTTTCTTTGTCTCACTTTAATTTAGGAAGGAAAGAAGGGACCTAACCCGCTCATGAGACGTAATAGCGTTACCCCTCTAGCAAGCCCAGAGCCCACCAAAAAACCTCGCATCAACAGCTTTGAGGAGCATGTGGCTGTTCCTTCCGCCCTGCCAGGCTGTGTTCCTCAGGAAGTGCCCTCGCAGCTGCCGGGACAAGTTAGTTGAACTCTTTTGGTTTGCTTTGTTTTGTTGTTATTCTCGTTGTTTTGTTGTCTGTTGTCCTCCTGTCGCTCCTGAAGCTGGGGACCGGCTTGCACTTGTCGC